CTTAACGTGTGATAGTGATGGGAAGATCGACAAATTCATAGGAGGTGAGTCTAGCTTGCCTCTGCATGAGTTGGAAGGAAATGGTTGTATTAATGGTGATGGTGGGAGCTATTATTTGGGGATGTTCTTGGGTGGGGCTTATGAGGAGGCACTTGGGGGAGTTCATAACTTGTTTGGTGGTCCGAGTGTGGCGCGAGTGTCTCAATGCAATGGTCCACACAGCTTCACCGTGACTCATGCTGCCCCTGGCCCATCCTGCGGTGATGTGCTCCGGATGATGCAGTTTGAGCCCCACCTCATGTTCGAGACTCTCAAGCACCGTGCAGAGGAGCTTGCCAACAATGGTGGTGATGATTCTAATGGCAGCATGGCTCTGGCTAGTGGCCTTGCCCAGTATTTCGATAGCATGCCGTATCTGATGGCTGCATCCTCTTGCAGCCTGACTGCTGCTGGGGGCAATGGTTACTACTATTGCAATGATGAGAAGTTTGTTCCCAGTGTTGATTCTGTTGCTGTGGAGGATGAACAGTGGTCTTATTGCGTTGCTTGAGTTTTTATTAGCATCTCCAGTGGTTTGTTCTTGTTTGTAGTCGAGGTTGTCCGTGTTCTATTTTTGGTTCGTGTATTTCTCTTTTTAACTATGTTGTTCCTTGGTCATCTTTACCTGTTATGATCAAGATGTAAGAAGATAGGACGAAGTCTTTTGCATTTTGGTTTAATGTCTTTAAGACTTTCGTGATTGTGTTATTTATTAGTATAAGATTTTAACTATCTTTCATTTTTTTCGTCCGATTCAATGAGCCCGAATGGCATTTGAGTGTTTCCAGTTGGATGATATAAACCATTGAACCCTGCGTCACGTACAGGATCAGGTCCCTTAAAGGGTACTCACATAGGTGGGACCTGCGCATGATTTTTTTTAAAAAATACGTGGTAGGGCCCACCATGTGAGTGCCCTGTTGAGCCCCTATGAATTATTCCTTTGTACATGGTGAATAATTCTAAACCATCCATTGCTCGTGAGACCATGCAAATTGATTGCTATTTGTCTAGCATAGAGGTGTAAACGAAGCCGAGTGGGCTGACAATTTTTGGCACCTCTCGTCTAACTTTTTATGTACTTGGGATTCTCTGTAGAGTTTGCTGTTTTTATTTCATTTCTTGTTGTGGAAAAAGCATTTTTTGTTTGAGAGATTGGATAGTTTGAAAAACGGATGATTCATTGGACCTTTGTATGTACTGATAAATGTGTTATGGGGAATTTACAAGATCAAGATAGCCTGTCCATCTGATGCCTTTGAAATGCTTAACCTCAACGCTTTATTTCAGATGTACATGTTCCTCTGCTGTAAAAGTGTATATTCTGATCATATCATGATTTCAATAGGGGTAGCAGAATATCTTCGAAGAGAAAAGTCAGAAAACTTTGGATCTTGAAGTTTATGAAGTGAAAATGTAATTAGCTCTTGGACAACGAAAAATTCAATCTTTAGGGTGGATGGATTAGTGTTTGGTTACGGTTGTGGCTATCAGTTGAAATATACAAGAAAGTTAAAATTTTGTCGATTGTACTGTCTAGTCTATCTAGGGTTCGGGTTGGGACCGACAAGATGAATAAACCAACACAAATGCCCCAAGTGAGTTTGGGTTGGTTTGATTTATCGGATTGAAGGGGATTTTGCACTTGAAAATCAAGTTTTTTTTTTTAAAATCAATTCCTTAAATCGAGGTTTTCGTTTTGGTCTAAGGAAAGCCGAAAACAAACCTCCAAATCGACTCGAGTTGGTTCGATTTGGGTTGGTTAGGCGAATAATTTGTCCATCCACCCCTAAATATGTTGACTATAGACAAGATAGAATATCTAATGCTATAGCCAATCATTGAAAAGAAGTATATGGCTTGTCGTCGAGGTTACTTGGTGATTTCCTTCATGTATGCCGGTCAAAGAGTTTGTGGGCTTATCAGTGAAACAAGATTGTGAGAAATTCATGGGTTTGAATGTGCAGTTCGATGGATAAAGGTGTAACACGCCCTTTTAAGGTGACTTGTTCAAAGGCCGCGTACAGAAAAATGCAGGGAGCAAAGTTGAAGGATTGTGTGGTTTCAGTTAGTGACAATTTCTGCTCCCCTTTTGGAAATTATTGAGGTCCATACATAATCTCATGGAAAATGAAATGATTACATATCACATGAATCAGGATTATGCAAGAATGAATACTACAATATTTTATCAAAGGACAAAATCAATATCCTGAACCTCATTCATGTTTCAAGGATATACTTAACGTTACAAATATTTACAAAACAAAATTTAAATACAAATGCCACCGTTTCAAGAAATAAAGGGGGCCAACTCTATTTTCTGAATCACTGAGAATTGGCTATTTGAAAAAACTTGAAGCTGTTAAATGGGATTTTGTGCTTCTGGTCTTGCAGTTCTTTGGGTTCAAGCCATATTTTTGTCTGCCCTTATCCAGGTGAGATCAATGGCGCCCCTGAGGGGTATTTCAACTGCTCGAGGGGTGTCAACAGGGTATCCTCCGTCCCCACCTGTATTTTGCATAGGTGTGGATTTTTTCAGCCGGTGTTCGAGTATGTTGGTGATTAGAGGTGATCTTTGTCCAACGGCCATCAATATTGGTGTCAAGGCTCCTACTCATTTGTTCTATTGCTGGTGTATGGAAAACAGTGATTTGTGTATAGAGACGGTGCTTTTAGAGTTGGTAACACACACACACACATATATATAAGTACCCCGATGTACTTATAGTAGAGCCCATCTATGTTATTGGGGTGTATGAGGATTGGAGCCAACTTATTTTGTTAAAAAAAATTAATTTATTGCTTTCTGCTCAATGAATTAAGTTCATACTTTTCATACATTATTGGTTCTTTATCTATATAAAAAAATAGAAAATCAAATGTGGAAATGTTATATCCATTATATTTGACAGTCAATGTGTGTTTAAGCGAGTCACATATGTACTCTATCTGTTAACGTGAATTTCACTACGTTAAAGCGAGAAATCAGTCAATAAATTACCAACATTTGGTACATTTCTTCCACCAATATTCACCCCATTTCGTTGGCAAAGAAGAAAAGGTCAAACCGAACTCCATCAAACTAATGTAATCAAATAAAACCTACAATCACACAAAGAAAATGTCTTACTTGTACACAAGGGCGGAGCTAGCCCTTCAAACTAGAGGGGTCCCGGAGTTGAAGGGGAGAGGGCTCACGGGAGTGCTGCCCTCGAAATTTTTTTTGAAACATTATCTGTTAAAAGGAGAAAAGTTGGTACTTTGTGATGGAGAAATGAAACAAATGAACGTAAATTAATGTACGAAGACTTCACAAAAAAATTAAGAAACATATAAAAGAAACTACTAATATTTTGAAATACTTCTTCATCACTGAGCCTGAGGATTGAGAAAACTCTTTCACTCATAATTGATAAACAATACAACTTCACAAANGCTCTATTCTCTATTCACAACACTAAACATTGATTTTCTGGAGAATGTGTGGTTAAAAAGTAGGAAAAAAGTTTTGGTTCGTGTGTAGAATATTTTATTTTGTGAATGTATGATTAAATATAAATAGTAAAATTTCTTTTCTTTTTTTTCTTTTTCTAAGAATGAGAGACAAACATAAACTAAACTCCCCAGATGTTCTCTTACCTGCCCCATTCTAAATGCTCACTTATAGAGTTATAGTCACTCTTTTTATCTTTCTTTTTAAAGATAAATGCGTTCGAAATCTTATATTCCAAATTAATTATGATATTTTAGCCACAATCGACCAAATAATTTTTTTTAACGGACTTCACATCGTTTTTTAGTCCCTAATCTTTGCAATTTTTTATATTTTTTTCCGTTAACTTAATTAAAATATTATTTGTTAATTTACCCCGAAAATTACTTATTAATTTCTCATCGTCTGTGCAAAGATAATCGGTCTCGTAGTGGTTTTCTACAATAGTTATTGCTTTATAAGTTAATTGTTTGCTTAACTACAAATTTAAATTTTAGGTTTCTTAATCAATTAATTTCTCATCCTCCCATATATATATATATATATATATATATAGAGAGAGAGAGAGAGAGAGAGAGAGAGAGAGAGAGAGAGAGAGAGTCTATATAATGCACCGGCTATATTCAACCTATATTTCTTCTGCACTTTTATTTTCAACCTTGTTTTTATTTATTTTTATTTTAGATTCATCAACTTTTCAGCTATTTACTGAAACTAAATACTCCTTGCTTCCATTGTTGTACAAGTAGATCTTATACATGCCAATTGATAGAAAAGACAAAAAAAACCATGGCATAGAAAATTCAATGAGTCCGCTCCAATAGAATCAAATTATCACTTCTCAGACATATATTTTGATGTTCCTTAAAACTCAATGTGAAAGCTCACATCATCCTTCAAAAAATCGGAATCACATTATTCGAAGTTTGGAAACAGATTTGAGTATGCATTTCTAACTGTTGGTAACAACCTTGCAGTGTGAACCTAATGTAAAGAATTGTCCCCATGGATGTATTTGGCGATCTTAGATCCTTCACCACAGAGCTCGTGCATCCTTATGATCAATCCATGACTTATTTGTGGTTCTTCTGAAAATTTACCACCACTTTCTGATATTTACAGTTTTCTAGAGACAACAATTTTCACATCCATTTCCAAAACTCTCCAGCATTGTATAATAACAGCAGTTACAAGTATTCCCAAAGATACGAATAAATATTATCATTTCCCGTGTTTTTCATTATGATTACGATGAATTCAAAAGAGAGAATGTTGAAGAATGATCTACATCTTGGATCTTACGACCAATGGCTCTAACAATAGTCATCTATTTGATCTCCCACAACGGAGTTCAATTATCAGTAGGTGCAAAAGATCATCCCTACTTCGACTCTATCAAGCTGATGGCTCAAATATGAAATGAAGAATCAGTATTTCGATTAATTCTATGTCGCAATTTACCTTATCAAGACACGATCGCCTTCAGTGCATCTTTCACATAGGGATATTTGAAAGGGAATCCCAGTTCCTTGGCTCTAGTCGGCAGCACCTTTTGTCCTTCAAGAACCTGCAAAGAGCCATAATTAATGTAGCAGGATCATTAGAGGTACAGTGTAATGACTCTAATTGCCCCTACATTGCTAAGATACAACTTTGTTCGCGCCCTTCGGCACATTTCCCTTAAAAACTGGTTTTAACGATGAGTTCTACCCAATATAGTTGTGATAACTGGAATCAAAGCAGGTACTGTTCAAGAGATGACCCTCATAGTGGAAGGGGCGACCTCAAGAGGAATACTTTCATTAGAAGATTAATTGTGTGAAGTCACCTAGCTTGAAATACAGGCTGTCGTGGACGTTGGATCTTCAGGGAGGAGAGGATTGTAATGACCTTAATTGCGTCCCTCATCACTAGGATTGTAATGACCTTAATTGCGTCCCTTATCCTCCCCTTATGAGTCGGTTTTAAGGGTGAACTCTACTTAATGTGGTCATAACATACATGCAAAGCAATGGACGCTAACAGTCTAAAGAAGAGTGCAAAGATCTTACCACACGAGCACCCTCTCCAAGAACAGCTTTGAGTGCAATATCAGGTACAGGAAGCCACGAGGGCCGTCCCAAGACTGATCCCAAGTGATCACACATCTCTGATAGCCGAACAGGGTTTGGTGCGGTTCCATTGATTACACCTGTCATTTAGTTTGCTTATATTCAGTCAAAGCCGAACATTCATAAATTGGTAACAAAGCTGATGACAGACAGCATCCAACGGAATGATTCAGAATTACATATTAGCCTATGAGGGAGGGAGAGAAACAGTTGCACTTTTACAGGTTAATTTGTTCTTTTGATTTGTTTTTCCGGAAAATAAACAACCAGATTAACAAACGTCTACCATAAAAGTATCACTAGATAATAGATACATGCAAATTCACAAACATTTTACCTTGGTAAGCGGCGTTGGATAGAGCTTCATAGATCAGATTCACTAGATCATCCACATGAATCCAGGAAAACCTGTTCAATAAAGCTAACGTAAACTTTACGGCATAATGAAGAAACTGCAAAATGATTGATTTGGTTTAAAATCAATACGCAAGCATTTTAAGAAGTTGACCGAGAGGGTTTTGGTACAATACCATTGCTTTCCAGAGCCCAAAGGTCCACCAGCGAACGCATTGAAGAGAGGGATCATTTTAGCTGCACCAACCAAAAGAGAGTTGATAGGTTACAACATAAAGACCATAATTTTAGTAAATGTTAGAATATTATAAAAAATATCTGCTTTCAGTAACAAGATGATGTAACGGTTTCAGGGAGCTTTAATTAATTTCAGCTCAACAAAGCATTGCTTAAAAACTTAGAATTAGATTTGAACTTATTTCAAGATTATAGATGATATTCCCCCGAGGTTTTGTTAGATTTAGTTAAATGAATGTCTCAAATTTGACCAATAAATTCCAAAATTTCCTAATTGATCACAGTTAGAAGATTGAATTTGGAAGTATGCAGCATTTACAAGGACTTGAAAATATTAAGTCATACCCAAAGCTCCACCATCTTTTCCGAGCACAACACCAATACGAATAAGTGCTACTCTAACATTTCCATTTCCATTGACTTTTAGCGCAGTTGCTTCCCATTCTCTACAAACCTGAGGGACCATTAGATTTTAACAACGCTAGAGTATCAGCGAAGGATGCCATATATAACATGACCAAACTGAAATCAGACTTGTGCAGATTCCCAAAGCTCTCTCTCTTACGAGAAAATAATTCCACTTGCAAAAGAACTAACAGTTTTTCTAAATTACCTCTGCCAGGTAATCTCTTCCTGATGGACTTTGCTCGTCAAACACTCGTGTTTCACTAGTGCCTGAACAATGAGACAATGGAATAGGAAATGAACAGCTTGTCACGAAACAACTGAAGGTGCACAAATTCAATTTTGATTTATCATTCCAAATGTCCCTTATAATGTCACCAGTAGAAAGTATGCAATTGGATGATATAGCTAAATGAGAATAATGTCTTCTACAGTGGATTAACAATTCCTGTGCTCCCAATGATAGTAGTATGACAGCAAACAACCCAAAATAAAAGTCGTGCAGTAGTAAAAGAATAATACCACCAACCTATAGGACAGAGTACTATGATATGTATTAAGACATGAAAAATGTAGTTTGAGACGCATACCATAGTAGCCAACAGCTGTTGCACTAATCAAAACCCTCGGACAAAGTTCAACTTGTGAATTATTTATTAGATCTACGACCTGTGGGTACATGGAAAGTTTGAGGTGAACAAAATTAGCAACTTTATCAGTTTATCATCCTTCCAAGAAAAAAGGAACTCATAGCAAAGAAGAGCTTTAGCTAAGGATATGCAAAGGAAACCTTTGAAGTGACTCTAATCCTGCTATCTTTGATCTCTTTCTTGATCTGCAATAATGCATTAAAGATCAATGGAATATTCAAACTCTGAGGTATAGGCTACATGTGGTCATCTACTAAGTTATGAACCATAAAAATATTACAAAAGCAGTCAAACCAAGCAACACTTTTCAGCATTGGTCACTGATAATTTTCTGCTAATAACAATCATGACAAATATCTTAATTCGTGATTCCAATTCTAACAGATATATGCAATTCATTCATACGATAAACTTCATTTTATAGAACGGATGCGTCTATGAACAGGTACTGCTTGCAGTAGAAAGACCACGCATTCAATCTTATAGATGAACTCTACAAATTATCATAGAAGTAGTAGATTTATCCTGAAATTATATTTGTAAAGCATCCTGAGTTTAGACAACAAAACTATCACCATAAGGACCGATGCATTTTGGATACTGTATGAGTTAGTTGATAACAAAAGATGCCGAGAGCAGGTCGTAAAGAAATTTATCACAAGAAAGACAGCAATTTCACGTACATTGAACTTGAAATGAAATATGTATTAATAAGGACATATTGTAAGAATAACAACGGCAGTTAAACAAACTTTATAACATACCTCAGGAGACCATCTCGTGCTTATTGGCAGTCCAGCCAAATTTACAACAGCTGTAGAACCTTGAATGCAGTCTCTCCACTCTGATTCCTCTGCTATTGCAATTCCTGGGAAGTCCTTGGCTGTACATATAAAGTAAAAATTTCAAAGAAGGGGAAGAGCAGGTGAACTTCCACAATAACAGAGTGATGCGAAAGAAGGAAAGAAAAAATTTACGATTTTTATCCGTTATTTGGAAAATTAAGAATTTTAATGATATCCAACACCCAAATTAAAAATTCACCGACCCAAGGGGAAAATTCCTACTTTATGTTCATTGTTTTTCTCTTTGGAAATCAAACAAGGGGTGAGAAAATATAAGCAATTATCTTCTTTTCTCCCTAAACTAATCAGAAGGTAACTAAATTGATTGGAAGACAATGCACTTAAAGGTATATTCTCATCATAACAAAAAGAAAATAGTCTTCAAACCCGTTACAAGTTCATGAAACCTTTCAGAATTCTTCCAGAGTAACGAGAAACATAAATTAAATGGAACTACGAAATATTACCTTCTTACCCGGAAAAATTGTCTGAGCTTTTGACCTAGACCGCGTCAAGACACGAACACGATGATTATCTACATTTCAGAGACGATAGAGAGAATATTCAGTTCATATATATCCATGCAAAAGGTAGAAGTTGGGATGGCAATATTAAATTGCGCAGCTTATATGTGTTTAGCATATATGTGAAATTTAGCGAGCTGTTTTTCCTGTTTGCATCTAAGCTTGTACAGTTCTGGCCAAGATGGAATGCGAGTGAATACCTGCATGCAATTTTTGTACCAATCTTTTGCCTATAAACCCTGTAGCTCCAGTTATTGAAACAGTCATCTCATCTGCCTGTGATAATTGAAAACAGAAACTGAAATCACCACCAAATCAAAGTAGTATAAGACTATACCACATATTAAGCTATGGAATCCAACTCATAACCTTTAACAATCCAAGAAGTCACTAAACTCGTGTACAGTCTTTAATTGAAGCAGAAAATGTCTTTTTTCAATTCTTAGATCAGATAGTAACAAGGACATTTGCAATCCCAGGTAAAGTTTTTAATTAAATTTATTTTATTTGCAGAGTTCACATGATATAAAAAGACTTCACCCATGTGAAATACTAAAAATCTTCAATGTACTTCTTAATTATTCCCACGATACAAGACCCAAGGTATGGTTCTGCTTAGATGAAGCAGAAAGGACAGTAAGAATGGGGTCAGTAAGTGTTGGGTATCCACCCCATGTCTTTGGGTGGATCAAGCGCTCAAGCCAACAAATTGGTTCAGTTAAAAAGGCCAAATGGTAATTATGAATGAGAATGGGATTAACTAGGAAACTTTAGTTAAAGCTCTAAATTATCATAATATGGAAATAATGCACATTTTCTTTCCTTGTGGAGAAAGGAAAATAAAAAGAAGAAGAGAAAAAATAGGGTGTGTGGAAGAGACACCGATGGATCCAAAATTATGAGAAACCCGAGATCAACAATGTAGAAACTCACAGAATTAGTGCAGCCTGCGTAATAGTGATCAAACCTTCATATCTCATCCATCCATCCCATCGTTCGATTTTCATGAAATTTGGACGGCAAGTTTACAACTCACTATTCTTAAATCCAACGGTTAAGATCAAGATCCGACGATTTATCCGAGAGGAATCGCTATCTGAACAGTGGCAATGACTTTTTTTTGTTATTTTTCAGTAGTATTCCATGAATAGTTTTTCTTGAGAGTTATGCTTTGGTAAATTGTTATCGTTGCTCTTGAGGGATTCCGTCTTTGATAGACAAGGATTTTAGGCTCTAAGAATTAGTTTAATCCTTAATGTTGATAGTGCCTCTAGTTTGGCTAGAGAGGCTTTACGTGGTTCTATCTCTTAGATGACGAGACATTGTTAGAATACCAAGACTTGTGATCTTGAGGTTAGTTGTACTTCTAGTATTGACAAGAGAGAATATTGTGGGTTTCCATCTTTGTTAGATGACGATTGCCAAGATATGTGTTCTTGATGTAGTTTTAGCTAGCCTCTTATGGTATCTAAGGAAGAAAATGTTGTACCCACTATTGTTGATTATAATGAATCGGAGTTGGGTCGTGGATGTAGACATATTTTTGAACCATATTAAATATTGTATCATTTATTTCGCGCATTATTTATTTGGTTATTGCAATATTTGATTTTCTCCTATTAGGTTTGCACAAGAAAGGGAAAATCGTATTTTCTGCTGCATTGTTGCTAGATATCATATTAAATATTGACCTAATATCCCCATCATCAAGTTCACCTTAGTAATTTTCCCAACGTTCCTTGATATGTAAGAACACTTTGTGAGGTAAGAATTAACTACATTAAATTTAGCAAAGTCCATTTCATCTAGTCCTTTCTTTCCATAACAAAAGGGAGAGGATATAAAGTATTTCTCTTAGTTTCATTACCAAGAACACAATCACAAAAACTGTTCACAATTGGCCCACCATATAATAATAGCAATTGAACTAATTTAAGCCCATGTTTGGTCCCCATTTTCTAAAACTCATTTTCAACCACACATTCTCCCAACGTGCGCTCATTACTCTCCCTACTTTTTTAACCACACATCCTCCATAAATTCATTTTTCAAAAAATCTTTTCTAAAAAAATATCTACCGAACAAGGGGGGCTAAATTTCAAACATTCAACATCACATGTTCTTAAATCGCCAACTACTTGATACAAGTTACTGATTTTCCTAGTAGGATTGTGATCACAAGTAAAGTTCTTTTCAAAATAATTTTTAGCTCTAAAATAGCTTACTTTTAACTAAAAATAAGTTACCTTTTAACTTACTTTATTCCTTTTAAGTAAATCTTAGCCAAACGCGGTTTCACTTTCACAGCATTTCATGAAACATTCGTGACATTGAGTTAAAAGATATATTCAATCAAGCCCTAAATACGGTTCAATTCAGTCGGTCTATAAACAAAAAGCTCGACATCTCGGAGTAGAAATTTACCTTCTTAGAGTCCACAATATCAATATTCCCATTGACACACCAAATCCTGACGCCCTTACACCGTCTCGTCTGTAAATCAACATCAACATCATAAAAATAAGTGACATTACAAGTCAAAATTGAGTACTAGTACATAAATAAGTAGCAATGAATAGAAAAGCGCACTGATGAGAAGTTTTGTGGGAAGTGGAAAGACGGAGAAATGGAATTTGTCGAAGCAAAGGCAGTGAGCTCCATTTTCTGGAGGGAAATTTTGATGTTACTCTCTGAAGATGGTGAGAGTTTATGTCTTGCCTGGTGTTTCCTTTTCCACCCATTTGTGCCGAGGAAATGTGTGTGATTTGGAGCCACATTCAGCTCGTGCCCAATATCCATATCGCTAACTTTTTAAAAATAATCATATTATTTCAATACTCAAGTGAAAAATAGCTTGACGGGAAAAAAAATAAAAGGATTATTCATCTTCTACATTGGGGTGTATATAAGAGTGTCCATAATGGACACTCGACACCCCCTATTGGATGGAGTGTCGGCCCCACTGGTACTCCATCCAATAAGGAGATGTCGGGTGTCCATAAGTACACCCTTATATACTTGTAGCAAAGCTCAAAATAAAAAGTATTAATACTCTTAATTGGGATCCATAAATAAATAATACAAATATCAATAATTAAGGTGTACTGAGTTTTTCTATGTTTCGAGCCTACTAGAAATTTTATCGTGCCTTTGTTTGAGCTCCATTTTATCAAAAATTCATTTTTTTCTAAATAATATATATACGTAGATCGAAAAAAAAATTTCTTCATTTTTAACCACATATTCTTCAGAAATCACTATTCAAAAATGATTTTTTTTTCCTCTTAAAATGGTGCTCAAACAAGGGCCGTATTTGACTGATTATCATCTCAACATGTGAGAAATGGATTTGGTTGTGTGTAAAAATTTAAAATAGAAAAAATTAAAGGATTCGTTGATTTGCTTAAGAAAACAATGTGATCTTTATATCATCTATTCCACTAATTTAACCCTTTGAAGTTTACTTTTCATATTGATGCTTGAGCTGATTTTTAAAACATTGCTTTTTGGAATGTTAATGCGTTTAGTTAAGCTTGAAAGGTGTTCAAGTACGAAAAGTCGATCTTCTAAGGCAAGCGTCTTCTTCACTTGTTAACGATCATTTTTTCCCCTCAAATGCTTTCAGTAAAACAGTTCAACAATTTTGTCAAGTTTAGTACTTCAATTTTAGAAAAGAAGAATAAAAATTTAGATTAATTAAAGTTGAAACAAGATATGGGTCGAAATATGTCAACTAGTTGTCACACCCACTGTCAAGGCTGACTATAAGGAATTTAACAAAATTTTGCAAAAAGTTTCTTGCAAAATTTCTCTACCAAGTTTTCATAAATCCATTATTGTCAAAAATAGGTCACGGTTAGTCTTAACGATATATGCAAGTACTCGTTATATTGTTGAATACCTGAACTAAACTTGCATCTAACAAAGAACAATTAGGACTGCATCGCTCAAAAATTTCATTGCAGATATCCCACTCTAAAAGTTCACCAACTAATTTAATTGTTGCAATCATTATAACAAATTGTATTTGAGAAGTAGAATTAAGGAGAGAATCGTTTTTCATATTAAATCACACTTCAGGCAAAAGGATGAAAATTTCCTGGAGCATAATTGGAGGACTATCCCAACCTGATTCCAGATCATGCTATAGCAAACTTGTACAAACATATAACAGTTCATTGACAAGATATACTCTAACTAACAACTGAAACTATTCTGTTTATCTTGTACCTAATCCGACCGGAGGTGGATTAAAAGAAAAGTTGTTTTGTATTGTATATTATACTATCCAATACAATGTAATATTACACAATAAACTTGCACTAATTGTTTTGTCAACTAGCTACAAGCTCACAGAAGGGATGTCATACTGTTTTTCCAGCTAAAGGATCTCCGACTCGTGCGTGGAGGAGTGAAACTGAGACCAAACATCTCCTTTAGGGCTTCCCCTTGCTCTGAGAACCCAATCAGCTTTGCAACAATGGCTGCACTATCTGAGACTTGATTCATATCTTTAGTGTCACTCCAAAGATGATGGACCAGCTGCGACCTCCTCTGTTTTGAGTTCAATTTTATACCCCATCTCTCATAAATTTTGTTCCTTTCTTCTTCTGCAAATCTCTTATAGATAAGCTTGCTTAGCATCTCCCTCTCACGCCGAAGAGTTTTCATGCTGTCACTCCAAGAAAAAAATATACTGGAATCATCAGTCGGAAATAACTAATCTGATGCCGAATTATTATAGGAACACAAAACTGAAAGAGGTGTGTATCTTCAATGTACTATTATGTTTATATCGTTTTCATGGGAGAGACAGATATTCAAAATGGTCTTACATCTTCAGTGATTCAGCTCCTTGATATACAAATAACACAGGCTATCTATTAATTCCGACAGCGGAAGGGACAAACCAAGTAAAATGTGAAACACAGCTACAGTTTATCTCCTTAATGAGAATCAAAGAGAAACAGAAGATACCTTGATGCCAACGTGAGTATGTGGCCATCTTGTACAGTTGGATTTCCCTCAGAAAATGTCTCCTTGAGGAATAATAATCTCCTGTGTTCTACCTCCATGTAAATGGAATCTGCCAAGTCGCCTTTAAAAAGGAGGAAGAAGTATGTCCTACGTACCAATGAAACATTGCAAGCTTGCCATAATTCAATTATTGATCCCCGCAGCCTCTCAAACTTCAGAAGCCAATTTGAAGGAGCTCCTGAAGAATCATGCCTTGCATCCAATTCATCTTTGACACTCTTTTGAGCTCTTGATTCGGGCTCTTGAACCTAGATATATGAATACAGTAGAAGCATGATAATCATGAATTTCAATATATTACAGTATCTTTTCACAGGATGCAGCTATTTAAATAAGTGGAGAAAAATATTAATGGGAAGAAAAAAGTATGAAAAGGGGGAAATTGAAATGTTACAAGAACAAAGCAGTTAAGAGTTCTGGAAATTGTCACCTGATCATCGAGCTTGTCTTCATTCTGAAGCTTAACCATCTCCCTGAGTCCTGCCACAAAGGAACCAAGGGTAGGAATATCATCATCTCCATGGATGTTGTCCTCGGCTTTTACTTCATCGGGAAAACTGCTACCGTGGGAAGATTGTGAGTCATTTCTGGACAATCTCATACCATTCGCACCATATATCGATGGGGGAAGCATCCAATTCTTCCTTTGGAAACCTTCTGGTCTTCCTGGGAAGCTGTTTCCCATCCCAGTAGATGGTGGGGTTGTTTCAATTTCTTCTGCCATCTCAAAGTCAGGAGAGCCAGTCACTAAATTAGGTTTATAACTCTCGCTACTTGTCAATTTCAGTTTTCCAGAATCCAATATATTGATGGACGAGGACAATCCATCCCCACAAGTGCTGGCTAGAGACTCCATGGTATTTTGCATATCTTGCATTTTATGCTCCAACGTTCCATGACAGCAACCATTTTCAACGTCAGGATCTAGTGCAAGGACAGGATTGGAAACACATCTACTACCAGACTCCATCAGTGTTGACATTCTTCCATCATTCTCACTGTTTGACAAATCTTTGTCCATCTCAATACATCGAACATCTTTACAAACTTCACCAGAATCTTGATTGACTCTTACTGGGAGATTATCTCTTCCTTGACTCAGATCAGTCATAACATAAGATGAAGAATGATCCTCACTGTCTTCTGACAGCAGTTGGTCCGACCTTGCGTCACTCTTGATGATGTCCTTATTACGAGACTGAATTCCATTAAGCTTCCTATAACTTACTTTTCTATCATGATGATTGGTTCTGCGCAATGACCTTGTAGCTGGATATACATTTTTCCTTGCGTTCTCTCCTTGCAATTTAGGAGGACAGCCAACGGCATCCTAGAAAATTGAATGACATATAAATTAATTAGTAATCATATGGTGCAACCCCTAGAGGTCTCTGTATGCGTATGAGTGTGCAGGAAGAAAGAGGGAAGGGAAGGGGGAAACATATCAATTTCTTTGAACTCTAATTATTTCCAACCTCTTGCAACAATTCCTCAACATGAGATCTAGCCAGATCTAGCTGCCTAGTCAGCTCCTTAACCTCTTTCTCCAACTGCAAATAGTACATCAGGCAATCACGTTAGCATGCTGCAAGTAATTTGAGAGCTTCTTGTTGCTAATGCTTTCAAGACAGGAAATATTTTTTAGAGGACTGGGTTAGCACATGGAAAAATTGCTATTTATTTTATCCCAATTAGAGAAGATACGTTCTATTATACATATCAAGAGGCAAACTACAGCAATGTCAAGTACTTCTAGAAATATTATTCTTCTTGTAACATGCTTTTGACTGCTGGTTTACAGAAAATAGAGATTTTCATAAGCAAGCATGTAAAGAAGGCAGTTTGTTTCAGTGAAATTAATACAGAATCCCAACCATTTGAAACATTAAAGAAGAAAATATGCTATGGATTAAATTAAACAGAAATCATTAACCTTTTCAATCTGCAGATCTTTCTTTCTAAGCAGTGCTGCATGATCACAGGTCAGTCCAGGAGTTCGCAGCTCACCCTCCAACCTGGCTACCTCTTTTTGTAGATGTTTCACCAAGGTCTTATCAGACATTACTACGTTGACCTGTGCATTTGTAGTTACTTCCTTTGCACAGCTAGCAAATAAAAGGGTATTTCTTGATTGCTCAACATGGCATCTTGCAGGGCTCAAAGTGCAAATTATGGTAGTTCTTCCATTGCCTCCCAAGGCAGGTTGCAAAATCCGTGTTAGTTTAGAATCCCTGAAATTGACATGTCCATGCCTTCCTTTGCTGCATTTAGCGTATGGCTAAAGTTAAAGAGTTATACATGGCTTAGAACTACACAATCATATACAGTTAGTAATTCAAAGAGGGAAACGTGTGAGTAGAGAGAGATAGAGTTGATGTCCCCATCTTTACCGAGAGAAAATCATGTCTCCCCAGTGAAGTCCACCTTAAATGGAATTCTTGGTGGAAGGGGGAAAAAAGAACGCCCCTCTAATGTATAATTCTTGTGGGTGGGGGAAGTAAAAAAATGGATAAATTCAGTTTTCATCCTCAGTGAACTAAGAAGAAAGGTACTACCTCCAAATAATACATCAGATGTGATAATGGTTGTTATATTTGAAAGAGTCAATTCCAGCAAGAAGCTAAAGCAAAAGAAGAGAGGAGAGACAACATTAGTCTACCTTAGCTTGCGAATCACTGTTCCTAAAGTTAGTAAGCTACGATTGATGTGGCAGCCTTCTTTCAGCCTTTGCCCAACTGATAATGATTGAGATGCACGCTCACTTCCAGCGAGATCAACAAAATTCTGTAGGCAAAAACTAGATAAATTGTCATTTTAAAACTCTTCCATTTTCAAAAACCAGTTGCATGTATTCATCATCAAATCCACAAGACAAAATGATTGCCAATACCACACTAGCAGAAAGGGTGGCTGAGTTGTCTTTCCCTAAAAACTCGCGAGCTGAACTATCAATCGTCTGAGAACAACCAAGTATAAATTAGCTAATAATAGGACTTCCGGGGACTGCCCAGAAATTTAAGTGAAAATTAAAGAACCAGAGAGAAAGAGGAGAAGGCATGCACCAATCTAAGAATTTGATGAGATCTGGAGCTTGTTTCATTCAAGGACGTTTCCCCAATTTGTCTTTGTGCTATGAGAATAAACCAGAAACACAATTATTCTACGTGACTAGATGGTCAAGATGTGTCAATGAAGAATTGATAGCCATAACGCTCCCCCTACCTTCGCAGATGGATAAAAGTTCCTTGAGATGACTCCAATCTCTCAGGGTTTCCTCTGTCAGTTTCTCTATAATAATTCCTCGCTGGAGAAATGGATCAATAGGTAAAAAAGAAATGTGTGTGATTATACGAGAAAGTAAGCACATTAGAACTCACCTCAGGATCATCAAGCAGTCTGAGTGGAGTACTGTCACTGCTGAGGAGGTCTTTAACAACTTCGTTGTATATTTCCATAGCAGAAAACTTCAACACAAATGCTCGATCCTCATGCTAGAAAAAAAAAGGAACAATTAATTTTTCAGAAATAATTATAGAAACACAAGCCCTATAAAGTTCCAAAGGAAAGAAAAATGTTTTATATTGCTATCGATATAAAGGAACTGATATTAACACCATATTTATTATTTAAATACCCTTTGTATGTAATCATAAATGTCAGCCACAGCATACTCAGTAATCCCATTCATGGTATATGTCTTTCCACTGCTTGTCTGGCCATATGCGAAAATAGTAGCTGAAATTGAAATTTTTATGTGAGTTAGAACACTTAGCTTGTCATCTGATAAGCAAGGCCAACAAATTATTGAATAAAAAATGAAGAATTAGGTCAATAATAAAAAAAAAAAAAAAGGTATAATATCATGCTTACAGTTGATGCCACCAACAACTGAAAGGGCAATGTCCTTTGCTCCTTCCTCATAAACTTCCCTCGTGCTGCAGTCACCCCTAAATACTCGATCTGCCCTCATAACACGTTAAAAAGACAGCAACAAGGGAAAGGAAGTAAGATTAATAGTGATTACAATTCTCAGAAATCGAGACGCTAAATATATCTATGAAGATTAACACACAAGTCTGAACAGCCCCCTTTTTGTGTGTCTAGTACACAGAAAGATTTCATACAAATTACTTGACTATAAAGTCACATCAATTAACTTGAGTTTAAATTATCATTACTGTCCTAAAATCACTCCTAAATCCTGACTAAATTAACCGACTATAACGTTATTGAGAAGATCTGTCAAAAGAATCCAACAATGTGCACTACAGACCGAAGGGAGGAACAATGGGATACTTGCAGAGTAGAATTCTTTGTAAAAGAAGCAAATAAAATATTGATTTGAAAGAAAATGAAGGCATTTCCTTACCAAATGAGCAAGCTGTGGGAAGTCCAGACCTCTCCTGGAGGCTGTTCCGGTACAAAATGGTGGTTGAATTAATGCATTCCCAATCCACAACTTCATCCTGTGCAATTTCCTTCTCGCTCAAAGGCCTCAAACGCACCAACACCAGAATCTTTTCTTCATTTCCATTGCCCCCAACTTGCATCTTCTCCCAATCCATCAATTCTTCTCCACCAATAGCCCCCATTTCTCAACACCCACTCCAATTAGCCCTCAAAAACCAACTCCGAACACACCAAACGTGAAATGACTATAATTAAAGGTCCCCCGAAACCACTAAACGGAAGTGAAACTAATACAGAACTTCTCAATGGTCCATTGCTAGCGGAAAAGGTCCAGAAAGTCAGGCTGTTAAAAGGCAGTGTTGTCTGAGTTTGCAATAGAAATTTTGCCGCCGGCGACAAGTATTAATCTGCAATGCAACAGAAAATACTAATTATATAAATATTAACAACTGCTAAAATATTGATTAAGCTAAAAGCATAATAATTTAAAGGGGTTAGCTGCGATTAACCACTTTGATTAAAGCTTTGGCCTTAAGCCTTTTCTTTCAACAGAAACCTAAAATTCACTTTCGATGGAGTCTGAAATTCGTAACAGACAGCTTTGCCTAATGGTGACCCCAATAATCCTTCAAGTCCAAGCAAGATGCTCATTAAAATAATTTTCCGAAAAGGCCTGTGGAAATTGAAATGTACACGAGTTCACCTTCGGGTATCGTTTTCGTCGAACGTTGGTGAAATGATATTTCTTGTTGAAGGGTCAGAGCTGAAGCTTCCTTTCTTCAATTTCTCATCCGTCGAGGAAAAATAAAAAGAAATCCAATACTAACCGTTATAATTTCCATAACCAAATGTAAAAACCGTCTTGAAACTGCTCAAACCATTGATCAGTGGATCAAAATCATCGTGAAACTGCTCGACACTGCTAGATTTGATTACGGCCTAACGTCACTTCGATTCAACGGTAAAAAAAATTAATGAATCCGCCAAAAATGAGCGACAAATGCACTAAAAACAGAAAGTGTTTTTGGATTACTAGTGTCGGTTAGTAAGTTCATGTGAAGCTGAGCTGGTTTTCCTTTAAAAAAGCATGCTGAAAAATCAACATTTTTGAAACTGGATTGTCAAGTGTGAACTTGAAAATTTGCAAATTACTTTACGCGTTGAATAAAGTAAGTAAAATAAAACAAATATGGCTGGAATACATAAAAATGGCCAAATGAAATAGTAAAATTCGGCGCGATAATCTCAATCCACTCCTTGCCTTCACGATCTCAATAAAATTTCAAATCATAACAGTACCGTTCTAGCACACCAGTGGAGCTTGATAAAGAAATGAAGAATGCTCTCAACTTCCAAAAGAAACCGCCTCTCTCTCTCACTCTCTATCTACCTATCTTTCTTTCTCTCTCACATACGTACACACACGTGAACGTGGGAACTACGAAGCTTATCGGGGAAAATTTGAAGCGGTGTCCGTTAAATCCGTTGCGCCACCGGAATAAACACGAAATGAAGATTTGGACCTTGCTTTATTTTAAAAAGTACATTTTTGGTCACTGAACTTTCAGTAAATTTTCAATTGGATCATCCAGCTTTAATTTATCACAAAAAAATCATTAAATTTCAATTTGCTTTCAATATTAGTCCCATTAGTCATTACTAAACTAACGTTCCAATCCTATATCGACGTTGAAAAATAATTTCTAATCTAACAATCCTCGCGTTATCAAGTGTAAAATTTGAAATATATGCCACGTGGCACTTGATTATGATGTGATACATGAGCATATATTTTCAAATTTTACAACCATTACTTAATTAGGCGGGGCGGGGCGACGGTGCTCCGCCCCAAATCCGCACCGTTGCCATCACTACCTCCTTCAAAATTGAGGTATCCTCGATAACTGGTAGATTTATAAATATTCTATTAATGGATGGATTTCAAGCTTAAAAATACATATAACCAAATCTTTTGAAATTTCACCATATTTAATGAAATTCTTATGAAATTTGTAGAAATTTATTCAAATCCACGAAATTCATTAAGACTTATTCTTTTAAAATACACAAAAATCTTAGTTGATGACATCCCTAAAATAAATTGAAATTCAATTATTTAAAATGATTTTTTAGTCTGTTACTTTTCATTTTTATAGCACGAGTGATTTCATATATGTAATTTTGTATAAAGTGTATTAGAAAAGGGTCTAACTCATACTTTAAAATTTTTCAAGAATTGTATAGATTATGGAATATAGTCGTTATTGAGTCTCATTCGTCTAATAAAAGTCAACAATAACGACTAACTTTTCAATTTTAATCTCTGTCAAACAAGCTCATAATTACAAGGATGGATCATTCATGATTTCCATGACAAAAGGGAAGAAAGCTATGATAATGCCGTGCACGTCTGCACCCAAAAAGAGAGAAAAGTCAAAGTTATAATATTGTGTATTTTCCATCAAGAGAGAACGAGGAAGGGAGGTATCAATTATTGAACTCAAGTGAAGAAAATTTAAAACATCAATTCGAGGAGTGTTCTGAAGTATCTCCGGAATTAAAAATATATATAAAAAAAACAACAATAAGCATAATCTATCGAACACGTACAATTATTGAATTCAAGTGTAGAAAATTTAAAACATCAATTCGAGGAGTGTTCTGAAGTATCTCCGGAATTAAAAATATATATATATAAAACAACAATAAGCATAATCTATCGAACACGTATAGACGTTTTCGAAAAGTGTATTTGATATGTGTCAAAATGCAAAGAGTCAAAAAGGAAGTTTAGATCCAATAGATACTTTAAAATTCATTTGATTAATTTTATAAAAGTACTTCTTCTGATTATAAGAATTTTTAAAGAAAACTGATTAATGTGACTTTCTCTAAAAACTTTTTTAAAATGATTTTGAAAGTTCGTATGGAAATTAATTTTCAAACAATAATTAAAATAATTTCCTCACGAAGTTCTAATAAAAGAAGCGAAAAAAAATAGAATTCCTGTCAAACATGTCCTTAGTATCTCGAATATCTTTGCATAAATTATGTAAAAGTTTCCACAAATAAAAAAATAAAAAAACCTATCCAACCTACCACCAAATGGTGGGAAGGTAGTTGGACCAAATATATTCCCATATGAAAATGATTGAGGCATTTAATGAATTATATATTTCCTTTAGTGAGAATTTTTCACTTCTATATTATGAAATATTTCACGAATCTAATGTCGCTTAATTTCCTACCACTAACAATGCATTCACATTCTAGTTTGAAAATGTTTTTAAATGGTTCTTTTACGAAAGTCAAAATACAAGATGGTTTAGTTTCGATTTTTTAACATGATGTCTCTTTATTATTTGGCCAGGCATAACATGTAGAATATATATATTAATAAATATACTAGTCGACTCTCTATAGTCGAGTAGTCAAGTCGATTTTCATCGAAATGTTTGCAAATACACGTATGAACAAAAATAATCTCCCTTCATCTTCTTCTTCATAGTCTATAGATTTGGTAGTGCGAAAAGCTTAGTAGACATAGCCCTTAACAAACATTCCTTTCTTGGCTTCGTCAGATTCTCCCTCACCGGTGTATTTCCCTAGCTGAGCAAGAGAGTTAGCCTTGGCCCGAACAAGCAAAGCATCCTGAGCCGCCTTCACATTCTCCGGACGCCCTC